GGCACCCATTCCCAAGAGACCCAGGGGTCCGAGCACCCATCACCCCCATTCCCAAGGGACCCAGGCATCCAAGCACCTGTTCCCAAGCGACCCAGGACTCTCAGCACCCATCCATCCTCTGCACCAGGGACCCAGGTGTCCAAGCACCCATCCATCCCCTCCACCAAGGACCCAGGACTCCCAGCACCCATTCCCAAGGGACCCAGGGGTCCGGCCCCCCCCCCCAGGCCCCCAAGGTCCTCACCCTGTGTCTGCTCCCGCACCCAGGCATCGAGGAGGGCACGAGCACCCTCCCCGCGTTGGAAGTCGACCCTGACCAGGCGCCGGGGGCCAAGGGTGCGGATGAAGCGGGGGACGAAGCCGGGGGTCAGCGCCAGCCCCCGCCCCACAAAAAGTCCCTCGGCCACGGCCAGGAGGTGACTGGGTCCCCTCAACTCCTGGCGCAGCGCCCGCAGCTCCGCCGCCATCCCTGGATCTGTGGGGTGGGGGAAACAGAGTCACGCCATGGGGCTGGGGGTATCCGTGGGTGACCCGGGGTGGGGACACCCAGGGGAGACCCAGTGTGGGGACAGGAACGCCCATGGGAGAGCAGGCATGGGGATGGGGACACACATGGGGGACCTGGTGTGGGGATGTGGACCCCACAACTCATCCCACCGTGGAGACTAGGACCTTGGGGTGTCCCCCATGAGGATGGGGACCCAACATCCCACCCCACCATGGGGACAGGGACCCCCTGGTGTCCCCCATGAAGACAGAGCCCCCACGACCCCTCCCTGCCATGGGGACAAGGACCCCAGTGACCCTCACCATTGATGCTGAAGCCCATGGCGACATCGAGCTGGCGACGGCCATGCCCGGCGGTGGCCAACTGGAGGGCCACCAGGACGGCGGTGGCCCCTTGGGGTGCAAAGATGGCATTGGTGTCCCCTCGGCGTCCCACTGCCTCCCGGAAGAGCCGCAACCCGAAGTCGGTCACCAGTTGGGCCACCCGTCCCGTCACCGGTGTCCCAGCACCCACCAGGGCCACCCAGGCCAGGGCCAGCAGGGCAACTGGGGCCACCCGCATCCTGGAGGGACCCAGGTGTCCAGAGGTCACCCAGGGCACTAAGGTGACCCTGATGGTGATCCCGGTGCTGGTCCCAGTCTTGGTGTTAGCCCCAGTCCCGGTGTCAGCCCCAGTCCCAGTCCCAGCGCTGGTCCCAGTCTTGGTATCAGCCCCAATCCCAGTGCTGGTCCCAGTTCCAATACTAGCCCCAGTCTTGGTCCCTGTCCCAGTCCAGACCCAGTCCCAATTCCAGTCCCAATTCCAGTCCCAGTGCTGGTTCCAGTGCCAGTCCCAACCCCAGTCCCAATCCCAGTCCTGGTG